GTTTCTGAAGTTTCCTGTTGTAGAATATTCTGCCTTTATTGGGAGTTTCTTGATATAAATGATTCCTGTGGCAGTTACATAATCTCTTGTCAACTTGCAAAGAGGCGGGGTCTAGCCTGTCAATCAGGTCACAGTGTGATGAGCCTATTTGGAGGCCAGATACACGCACTCCCTGTGACAGATTCCTGTTGACAGCCACATGCTGCTACACTGACGGGGCCAGACCCCTGGCACGGGAGGAGCCATGTGGAGACCCACACCAGCACGAAAATGCTTCCACTGGATCCACAAGACGTCCCACCCACTGGCTTGTGATCTTCCAGCATTCAGGTCATTGCATGTGTTGTGTGAGGCTGAAGAGGAAATTATAGACTGGTATTGGACATATGGGCTAACATCAGACGTACAGACTTGATCTGGACTGGGCTGGGATGCTATCTTAATATTCAACTACTCTTCATATAAAGCTCTCTCTTATACACATAGGGGTGTCTATGAATTTGTTTCTCTAGTCCACCCAGACGAACACAATCCCCACCCCACTTTTCTTAAGGAAGAGGTCATCCGTGCCTTTGGACCGGAGGGCTCCTGTGGGACGGAGTGAAAGTCGTGGACTCTCACAGACACACAGCCGGGTGTCCAGTCCCTGAGTTCATGAACTATCTGAATGCCAGCTGAGGGAAGGCGAAGGTCAGGTCAAAATCTGTGCGTGAGAGTTTATTTATAAATGCGGGTTTACATAGTAATGTCTTTTGCCCTGCCATCTTATACTATATAAATATTCTCAGTTGGCCTTGACCCCCACCCCCATCACAGAAGCAACATTCTGATGTGGAGTCTGCTTCTTCCTTTGTCAGCTGAACTTTCTTACAGCTTCTCAACTTGAGAAGACCTTCCCTCAGGTCCTTAAAGTGCAACTTGTAATGCAGCTTCCAAGGGGTTCTGATGTCAGGTCCGTCCTTATCGAGGGAGACTGTCTTGGCTTCATTGCACTGAGAGTATTGTTGTCTGGGGATTTGAAAGACTGAGAGGTTAGACACGCGCACACACACACACACACCCAACCCGGACCTTCCCCCACTGGGCCTCGGCATCCTCTCAGCACCACATGGCAATTCCCAGCAGATCTGAAATCTTGCCAGAGTCCGGGGTGTGGTGTGTGTAGTGTGGTGTGAGGTGTGGTGCAGTGTGTGTGGTATGCTGTGTGTGGCGTGGTGTGTGAGGTATGGTATGATGTGTGTGTGGTCTGTGTTTGCTCTAGTGTGTGCTGTGGTGTGTGTGGCGTGTGTGTGTGTGTGTGTGTGTGTGTATGTGAAGTTTCCGTTTCTCACCTCAGAGTCCAGGAATCCGTCTCTTGGAGATGTTCTTCTGGGCTGTTCGCTCTGCATCCCGGAAGTGTCTTTTC